GTGGGGGGGGGGTCTCATATTTTGTTAATATTAGTTAATGCAACAGGTTACAGAAATCAGCACAATCACAATATCTTTAACAATTTACACTACCATTCAAAAGTTTGGGGTTGATAGATTTAAACAAAATTATTTGTAGAAAGTCTCTTATGCTCAACAAGGCTGCATTTATTTAATAAAAAATACAGTAAAAATCGTAATAATGTGAAGAATTATTGCAAATTAAAATAACTGTTTTCTATTTTAATATATTTAAAAATTAAATTTATTCCTTTGATGCTGAAGCTGAATTTTAATCAGCAATTACTCCAGTCTTCACATGACGATTTGATGTCAGCTGTGCCACTTAATATTTTTGTGTAAACGGTGATATTTTTTTTTTTCAGGATTTTTTGATTAATAGAAAGTTCTGTTTATTTGAAATATAAATCCTTTGTAACATTAAACATGTCTTTACCTTCACCTTTAGTCAATGTGTCCTTGCTGAATAAGTATTAATTTCTTTAAAAAAGTTACTTACCCAAACTTTGGAATGGTTGTATATATACTCTATTTATATTTATAACAATATTTTATTAGAATTTATTAGAATGTATTAATTATTAGGTTAATTTGTGTTTATACTGATACATTTTTACCTTTTTAAGTGAATTAATATAAATTAATAATGGACACAAATGTATTTACATTAAACAATACTTCATTAACTAATGTTAATTAACTGAACCTTATTGTAAATGTTGCCAAGTGTTACCTTTTTTTTTTACCTTAAAAGCAATGTTCATGGTGTAAAGCACCAACAAGACATAATGCACAGGCTAAAAATGTCCATCTGCCTCTTACATATATGGACCAACAATTAAAAAAACGGCACAGATGGAACATACACCCCCTTCTTTTATTATTATATTATTCCCCCCCCTTAAGAAAAAAAAAAAAAAAAAAAACATTAAATGCAGCCCACCTTCTCCAGGACACCTACCAGGTCCAACATTACGCCTTCACACATAAATCATCACCTCTTTGAAATACTTTCATAACCATAAACACAAAAATAACCATGCACAAGAATAGTAACCCTTATTAACAACCAAACAACATCCCTGCTAAACGCTTGCTGCTGTTGTTATTGTAGGCTAGTGTTTACTGCTGGAATTCAGCACCTCCCGCATTTATCCAGGGCACACTAAGGTCCTCCATCCCATAAACTTCTCATTTTATGCAATGACCCTGCAGGAACCTTTAGTATATGCACTGTGCAAGCAATATAGTTGCATATTTGACCAATTTACAGCATATTTTATGTTGCTTTTGATGCAAAATTTTCTA